CACGCGCGCGCGCGCACACACACACACACACACACACACACACACACACACTGCCATGGAAAGAAAACTACTTAAAGAGTTCTCCCATAAAATCTTTCGGCAGCTTCACTTGTCAAATGGCATTTTGCTTGCACTGAAAAATATAAACTCAGGCAGCAAGCAAGGGTTTAAACAATTATAGCTCACGCCTGCAGCTGTTTCCCCCCAGCCCCCCCCCCCCAAATTCTTCGGGCCCCCAATTCTTTTTGCTTGGTTTTTCTTGCTTTTTTACGGTTTTAACTCTTTCCAGCGGTGGCAGTCTCTGGGGACAGGGAGCCTAACAGCCAGGCCATCGAGCCAGAGGAGCTGCATGCTGGGCTGTAACCGTGAAGCCTGCGGTCTGAACCCACCAGCTGTTCCTCGGGAGAAAGATGAAGATTTCCACTTCCATAACCATTCACAGCCCTGGACAAGCACAGGGGCAGTTTTACTCCAGTGATTCGACCCTGTCGACTTGCTATGAGCCCAATACGGAGGGCGGGAATTAAAGTAGCAACATCCCCTTTTGTAAATGAAAAATGGACCGAACTAAGAGTCCAGGAAGGAAGAATGTATTTGGAGAATTTCAATGAGAAACAGAGTTCAAGGGGTTCAGTCCCACTGTGCACAGGAGTGCTGGTGGTGTGTGTTGGTTCCTCGCTGGGCTGCTAACCGCGAGGTCAACAGTTTGAAACCACCAGCTGCTCCATGAGAGAAAGATGAGGCTTTCTGCTCCCGTGAACAGTTACAATCTCAGAAACCCGCTTGAAGGGCACTTCTACCCTGTTCTATGGGGTCATTAAGAGTCACCATCAGCTTCATGGCAGGAAGTAGAATGCATAACTTTGAAGGAGCTCTGGTGGTGCTGTTGGGTGAGTGTTGGGCTGCTAACCACAAGGTCAGTGGTTCACACACTGGCCTCTCCACCAGAGAAAGACGAGCCTGCCCATTCCTATAAAGCTTTGCTTTCCTGGAAACCTGAGGTTTCTACTCTTCCCTAGAGCGCTGCTATGAGTCAGGACCGGATCTTTGGCAGTGGGATTTGAGATCACATACTCGATCCCAGGCTGAAATTGTACTTGGTGATGACGTGTTTTATTTGTCTGCCCTCGCTGATCCATTGTCTTGAAGTGTTGAGGGGAAATTGGTGGTGAGGACCCGTTGTCTTCGTGGAAGGATTCTTGGCTCAACTTTTCTCCGTGAGGTGAAATGAGATGGGGGGGGGGGGGGTGGGGGAAATCTCACAACCGATCCCGCCCCTCTCAAGGGCCAAGGGCTCTTGGGTGACTTGAAAGAATGACTAGAGTCTCTACAGGTCACCTCTGTCTGGGGGTTTTGCCACCCCATGTTTTCTACTAGAGTGTGTGGGTTGAGTGGAGACTTCTAAGGAGAGACCCTATCCCTTGTGAATCTCCAGATCTCGGCACCAGATATCTTAGCCCATCTGCTCTGAGTGGACTGTAGAGTTTAACTAGGTCTTAGGTCCAGCATGTGTATCCATTAGAAGGGAGAGCAGAGAGAATTTCAAGGTGACCCTATGGAGAGAAAACGGAATAGGAGAATGGATACCCCGGGTGTCATTGATAAGGATTGGTTTGGGAATACTTTGTTGTCAAGCAAACTTTCAAAAATGACAGCATCCGTTTAATTTATTTCAGGGGAATTAGTTTGAACAGTGGAAGGAGAAATGATCCCACCCATTACAATGATATCCCTTTGAAGCCTGTTGTGAGAGACACCTACTGGTTTTAAAACAATTGAAGGCTCGGTGTCTTACAGTAGACATGTTTATACTGGATTAGGTTCAACGGTAGATTGCATTTGCCTGCTTCCAGGAGTTTGGCTGTGATTTGGGATAATCCAAGGCTTATCGTAATGTATACAAGGCTGCAAAGGATCAAGGAAAATCCACAGAAAATCAGCGAGTATTTATTCAGCCATTAGTCACATTGCCCCCCCACGCTGCTCTGTTCAGGCTGTCAGGATGCATAAATATCATCTTTTAAGTTTATTTTTGCTGGCCCCGTCTCCCACCCCTGTCCAATTCCCGTGTATGACGTAACAGCTAGAAATGGCCAGGCTGTGGAGGTAAGCTTGGGGGCGGAGTTCAAGTAGCATCTAAACACAGAGCGCCCATGGCAGGGGCGTGATAACATCGTGTGTTGCCTCCTCACTCCCTTTAGGGTATTCCTGCCGCCTGGTGTCCCAGAACATGGCCCTCATCCTGCTGAAGGAAGAGTCTCTGGATGTGAGTAGTTTGGCAGACGTATTTGCTGTATCTTTACTATTTGCTGAACTCTTTATTGGTTATCTCTTTGCAATATGATTGATCATTGGTGCTTTTGCTGGAAAACAACGACAAAGTTAATGTATGAATGCGTGGAGAGAGATATGTTTGTTTTGTTTAGGAAACAAATGTCCTGGTGCCTTGGTAGCATAGTGGGTTACAAGTTGGGCTGCTAACCTCAAGGTCATCAGTTCAAAACCACCAGCCACTCCTCATGAGAAAGACAAGACTTTTCACTCCTATAAAGATTTCCAGCCTCAGAAACCCACAGGGGGAGTTCTGCTCTGCCCTATAGGTAGCTGTGAGTCAGAGTAGACTCTGTGGCAATGCTTTTGTTTGTTTATTTGTTTGTCAGTCGTACAGCAGTATCTTTACCAAAAAATACCTCAACAGGATTGTTTCCTAATGATACCTTATTTTGCTCAGCTAGGATTCTGCCTTTAACACGAGAGGGTTTTGTTTGAAACTGATTTCACTTTAATAATTACATTTGAAGTGCGAATGGAATCTAGTACAATTTACATCAGGTACCAAACCCAACTCCCTGCCATCGAGTGAATTCTGACTCATGGCGACCCTGTAGGACAGGGTGGAACTGCCCCCGTGCGTCTCTAAGACGGTAACCGTTCATGGGAGGAGAAAGCCCTATCTTTCTCCAGAAGAGTGCCTGATGGCTCTGAACTGCAGACCTTGGGGTGCTGATGGTTAAAACACGCATTAGGCTCCTTTACGTCAGATTGGACTCTGTGTCTATAGATTTGGGCTGGTTTTCAGTGAAGGATAACTCTGTTGTAGGTAAAGAGACTTGTAGGAATTACTCTGTAGGAGAAACCTTAGAATAAGGATGCTAGTCACTTGTCGGGCATTGTTTAGATTTCATAGTAATAGAGTACTTATGCACTTCATTCTGAAACATCCCTATGCCATGAGTTTGTGAAGAAGTCAACATCTAGATTGTTTGAGTATTTTTAGACCTCTGAGGAGTTCCTGTGGTCTAAACCAGTGGTGAGACCTGGAGAGGGAGCTGATCTTAGGGCACCCAGTGACCTGTGAATGGTATGAGCTGTGAAGAGATGAGCTGTGAAGAGATGAGCATTCCGTCTTGGGAGCCTGTGGCCCCAAGAAGCTCTTCCCCGCAGCATACTTCCATACCAAGGCCAGGAGCAGGCCAGAGGGCTTCTTGTCCTGGAGGCCACACAGCACCGAGATGTCCACGTCTCCAATGGAGGAGGCCACCACTCCTAATGTGAACGTCAAGACCTAGGGATTTATTTTTGTTGAAGTAGGCTGAAAGGATTTCTGTTCTTAGAAAAATACCATTTAGTAGGCATGGCATAAAAGAGAAACAAATTGGATATACATAAAATAGACCCATAGCTGTTCTTCCAAATGAAGCCTTTGTGGATTCCAGGCTCTGGTGATGGAGCAAACAAGACAGAGACCCAGGAAATGGCTCAAGGTAAGGAAGGGTTAGGTCTGGCTTCCCTAACTACTACGTCTCCTCCTGTAAATAGGAAGAAATAAGGCACCCACTTCAAAGATGGCTTCCATCATTGTCACTTGACTGATAGCTATGTCTAGGTTAAGATTCTCAGCCCCATACTATTATTAACATTTATCTTTCTGTTTTGAGTTTTTAATCTCTGGCCTACATTGGTTCTTGGCAAAATAACATTTAAGCTCGTTTTAAAAAAATTTAATTTAATTAATTTATTTTTTAATCGTTTTATTAGGGGCTCATACAACTCG